TCAACAAGGATATCATGTTTTTGTTTACTGCTCTTTGAAAAAAATTAGCTGAGGTCATTACAAACTAACTCCCCGTCCGATCCCTTTTGCCAAAAAGCTTACGTTGTTTCAATAGGTTAAGCACTTCTTTTTCTATAAGTGCATTGCATCAGTAGCCGGGGCTTCAACTCTATATACTAGCACCGGAAGAACGTAGCATCTCACTATCCTCATCTTGGTCTCTAAACTCAGGTCACTGCCACCTGTGCACCTTGTAATTTACATTCTTAAGTTAATTTCTTTCGGATGTTCTTACTGTGAGTTAAGGGCAGTTTTGAGGTAGCTGAATCTGTCGACTTTCTCTATCTCTTCATTAGCGGCGATTAGCGCGCCGGGATCTAAATTTGTGTGGCTGATAACCATGGATTTGGTTTTCCTAAGCTGTTGTACTATATTTACATAATATTATATAAATAATATTATATATACTATTGAAAAGAAATGGCGATTAATTAAGTACGACTAATAATAAACCAATTTTATAAATATTGTTAAGGACTAGAGATGGAATTTCTATGGACACCAGAAACAAGTATGGCGATTCATAAGACAACAAAGAAGCGAAATGAAAGAACTAGTTGAAATAAAACACCATACAAGAGGATACATGGGTGGCCTTCCTGACAAAATGAGAAAACTATTTACCAGAACGCCAAATATAATAAACTGAGGAAAAGACCGAAATCTCCCACAGCCGATGTAAAAGAAGGAATAAACAAATTAAAAAAACAGAAAGTCACCAGGAGCAGATCAAATACCAAATGACTCTTAAAATATGGAGGTGGATTACCTTGTACACAACTGCAACTTCTTATTAATAAAATAATCACCACGAACAGAATACCAGATGAATGGAGGAGAGCGATCATGGTGATGTCTCTTCAAAAAAGGAGATAAGAAAGACCCCAATAATTATCGAGCAATAAATCTTTTAAATTCAACACTCAAATTGACAACAAGAATAATAGCGACAAAAATAAACGAACAAATATCTCTGCAAGAGGAACAGCAAGGATTTCGGATAGGAAGATCATGCACGGATGCAGTTTTTGTAATAAGACAAATAAAAGAAAAGTCGCTGGAATACAACAAACCAGCATATATGTGTCTGATAATTTGAAGAAAGCGTTTGATAGAGTGAGAATTCGGGACGCGATACATTTATTATATGAAAAGGGAATATCACTGGATTTAGTAAAAACAATGAGAATATATATATATATATATATATATATATATATATATATATATATATATATATATATAGATCAAGCTATGGTAAGAATGTAAAGGAAAACTATCGCAACCTATCAAATATGAACTGAGCATTAGACAAGGAGATTCGCTGAGACTCATTAATATTTAATCTGATAATGGATGAAATCATAAGAAAGTAAAAAAGAGGTATAGAATGGGAGAAAAGGAAATAAGGATAATATGCTACGCCGACGACGCCATAATAACAGCCGAAAATGAAGATGACCTACAAAGATTAATTAAAGAATTCGAAGATACGGCGCTCATATACAACATGGTGATCTCAACAGAGAAAACTAAAGCGATAGTGATATCAGCGGAACCGAGACGATGTAAACTAGTTGTAAATAACAAAATAATAGAACAAGTGATGGAAACTGAATACTTGTGAATAAAACTGTCAAACTACGGAAAAGTGGAAGAAGAAGTACAAAAACAAGTGAACATGGCAAACAGAGCAGCAGGATGTCTCAACAACACAATCTGGAGAAACAAATACCTCACAACGGAAACGAAAACCAGGATATATAAATCAACAATAAGACCGATAATGACGTACACAGCGGAAACAAGACAGATACGGCGAAAACACAAAGACTGCTGGAAACAACAGAAATGAAAGTATTACGAAAAATAACAAACCAAACGCTAAGAGACAGAGTAAGAAGTGAGGAAATACGGGCGAGATTTGGTATAGAGGAAATGAATGCGTGGACCAAAAGAAGAAAAGTGGAATGGAATTAACATATCGAAAGAATGACAGAAAATAGAATAGTACGAATAGCAAGAGACAAATCGCCAATTGGAAGAAGATCATTGGAATGACCGAGGAAAAGATGGTGAGACAACGTCAATTGTGGCTAAAAACCTAAGTAAAATAGGCATTAAGCCTATTTATAAAGTAGGAAGAAGAAGAAGATAAATATTGTTGTATAATTAAATCAATTTATAAGATATAGTAATTTTCTCAACGATCATACACAATTTAGGATACGAAAATAAATGTAATTTTTCAGTTCAACCCAATACTATGTAAATTAGCAGCGTACTTTACATATACAGTGTGTTCTAAAAGTAACGCATAAAATTCGTTATTTTGTTTCTGATAGGTTTTGCAAAAAATACGAAAAGATCGATTTTTATTTTTAAATTGTCATTTTTTTGTTGCACACCTAATGTATAATTGAATGCACCCTATATTTAACTAAACAAATGAATAGTCCTTTTAAAGACAAATTCGGAGATGAAAAATAATTTGATATTTCAATAGGACCGTACTTTTTTGTATTATGCTTTACTTGTTCATCAATATTTAGACCTACATGTTCAACGGTATTGAATTGGAAGAAGAGGCAGTATCGAATGGTCCCCTCAGTCACCAGATTTATCTACCCTAGATTTATTTTTTTGAATACCGGAGTCACCACATTTTTAAATATTTACGTCAGCGAATTGTCAACGAAAGCCACGAGTCACTCCGCAATGCTCCGAATGTGAAAGAACGTTTCGAACAAACCAGTATATTTGTATGGATGCCAGAGAGCATTAGTTTCAACATTTAAACAACTAAGAAATAAGTAATCAGCTAAAAATAATAATTTTAAAACGTATTTTTTAATACATGAAATATATTATTGGACCGAATTTAAAAATTTAAATACTAATGTATATTAAACTGTAAGTGCTTTAAAATGATATCTCATCTCAACCTCATTGCCATTAACAACTCTTGGGGTGATTTTTACCCTGGTTTAGGGGCCAAAGTAAACTTTAATCAAACCTAAGAAATCGATGTGTCGCTGGGTTTTTCAAAAATGTCGCAGTTCCTAGTAGTACCGCTGATTCATTTTAGTCCGCCATCCTTTATTGTAAGTTATACTTTGTAACTCTTCCATATCTAATGTTATTTTGTGCTACAACCTTTGGTAACATAAAGATTATAAAACTTATAGCAATATTATAAAGTCATATAAAAAAGTATACAAAACATTTTCAAACCATAAACAGAACATTGTGCTATTTTAATATGTATACAGCTAAAATCATTTTAATTTTTAAAATTAAATGCATTTATTATACAATATGAATGTATGTATGCATTAGGTAATTTCATTACAAAGAAACCGATAGAACGGAGTACCAAAATATCTGACAAAATTCTTGAACTTAGTGTTAGAATATGAGAAGAGAAATGCCTTTTGGTCCCAAATTCAAGAAGAATTGAATCAACAGAAAGCTATGACTAAGTTTCAAGACTTTAGGAAGTTTTTCCTTCAACAAGAAGAAAAGCCGTAAGAATATAAGTAGAGCAATAATTGTTCTTTTCTTCAATATAACTCTTTCTTACACCAAGAGGAACCTACACACATGAACCAAAACTCTAGAACTTTTTATCCAAGTAAAAGAAAAGGAGTAAAAGAATAATTACAGCAAGATGACCTATTGACCTCAAATTCAATAGAGTTCTTACTTACACCACAAGAAAATTATGTACCAAGTTTCACGATTCTAGAATTTTTCTGTCAAAAAAGGGAAGACATAAGAATATCAGAAACAAGAAATATATTAATCCTTCATTGATCAGAGTTCTTCTTTGTACCAAAAAGGATCTATGTACTGAGTTTCAAGAATCTAGTACTTTTCTTTTGATTAATAAATAGGAAAGGCAAATAATATGCAAACAAGAAGAAATATACCAAATAACTTCAAATTCAATAGAGTTCTTCATTACACCACGAATCTGACACTAAGAGGAGGGTCTGTACCAAACTTAAAGAGTCTAAAACTTTTCTTTTAGAAAGACGGGAAGCACGAGCATATGAGAAGAAAACGATCTATTGACATCAAATTCAATAGCGTTCTTCCTAACACTAAATGGAACGTTTCTGTCAGTTTTAAAATTCTCAGATTTTCACTTCTGACTCACATACCGTCAGATGGAATGACGGGCAGACAGATTGATAGACAGGCAGATAGACAGACGGGCAGAAAGACGGACAGACAGGTGAACATATAGACGGATAGATATACGGGCAGACAGTTTGAGGTAAACGAATAACAACACTACTTCATTAAATATCTGTTGGGTCTTTAATATATGTATTGTACTCAGCGGTTTCAAATCTGTATTTTACATTCTAGAAAATAAGTATTTATACAATAATTATTCTAGAATATACAAAACACGGGCCTTACATATGGTCTTATTAGGAAATATAAAGGGAATACATAAAAATTCTTAACAATATTCTTAATCAAATAAACCTATGTCAAAATCTTCATATTAGAAAGGCAAATTCGTCACTGAAACCTTTATCGTGAGTTAAATTAAAATATATTGTGAACATTTCGAAAATAGTTTCTTTAAAGGTTATTATATGCAGTATACTTAGTACAAATAGTTACAATAATCTACAAGAATAAATGAATGAACATTAATAAAACAGTAAAAAGAGTTTTCAGCAACTTTATAAACAATTTAAGAAAATTTAAGTTACACAAAAGATTTAAATTGCAAGAAAATGATTACTTAACTCTCACCATGTGGAAATTTGGAATTATTGAAGACATTTCCCAGTTTTTCAATGAAAAATCCAACATTAATGTATGAATAAGACATAGTAATTATTAGTTAAAACCGCACACTTAGCAACAAAACCTCCAAAACAGTCGATAGAGTACATAATTACAGAAACTCGTCTTACCTTAAACCATTGAACAGTTGTTTAGATTTTTCTAGTAAATGAACAAATTCCATCACAATTTTTCTCTCATGCTCGTCCATATTCGCCATACCGACCATTTTTATTTAAAATTTTCCGTACTTCATATCTTGTAATGTTTCTAAATCGTGGAAAGATGGCAAGTTTGACGGGGCTTTAGTGAAATATCGAACAGCAGACATGATGCCTAGACGCTAGCACCGCGACGGTGCTGGCATATGCTCGAGGTGTCATCGTTACATTCGACGAGTTATTTCGGCGCAGGGTTAGTTGATATTGAGGCAGTGTTAAAATATCGAAAGTCCCTAGAAAACCATAGGTTTGCAAAAAATATGGATTTGTATGTAAAAATCTATAAACGGTTACAAGGAATATACATACACAAGAACGTATTTCGTCGAAGATGGTATCACCGTAAAGGAAAATAAAAACGGGATAAATTCTAAATTACGCCTAAAAAACTAGAAATCTATAGAAATACTAAAATCTATAGAATAACTAAGAAACCACAAATCCCCAGGCTGTGATGGCATCCCAGCAGAGTTATTTAAGCACGGTGGAGAGCAGTTCACCAAGATGATGCAAGAAATTGTTTGTAAAATTTGACCTGCGGAGCAAATGCCTGAAGAATGGAGCTTAGACTTAATTTACCCGTTACACAAAATTGGTAAACCAACTGGAATGCAATAATTACCGCGGAATAACTCTACTAAATACAGCATACAAGATATTGTCAAACATTTTGCACGAGAGATTAAAGCCTTATACCAAAACGTTTCTAGGAGAATATCAGGCAGGATTCAGGCGTGGACGTTCAACCATTATCCAGATCTTTATACTACGACAGATCCTCGAAAAAGCGCAAGAGTTTAACGTAGTTATGTATCACATTTTTGTCGATTTTAAAGCCGCATATAACAGTGTCTTACGACAAAGTCTTTACAACGTTATGAATGAGTTAGGAATTCCAAAAAAACTCATATGTTTGATAAAAGTGACAATGGCGAAGATGCTATCAGCAGTAAAAATTCAAAACGACTCGTCAACCCCATTTGACATATAGTTAATACATAGAGGGTTAAGGCAGAGAGATGCGATGGCGTATGGCCTTAGAAAAAGTTATACGAGACGTTAATTTAGATAGCAGGGAACAATATTTAATAAATAAGTCCAAATTCTACACGTGGACATTATAACAAGAACCAGGGTGAGAACTGCGGAAATCCTAACCGAGCTAGTAGCAACAGCAGAACGAATGGGGTTACATATAAATCAAAATAAAACCAAATTCACGGCGACTAACACAAACACAAGAGCTGGAAATGTTGACGCAGATTTAATTATCAATGGCCAAAACTTCGAAGCAGTCAAGGAGTTCATATATCTAGGGACATCGGTTAACCCAATAATAACACATCTGAGAAAATAAAAAGGCGAATATTAATTGCAAACAGGTGTTATCATGGTCTATCAAAGTATTTAGCTAACAAACGTCTGTCTCAACAAATTCGTATAAGGCTGTATAGAACACTGATAGTCCGCGTTCTCACATATGGATCAGAGGCATGGACAGTTTTTTTAAAGGTGTTAAATAAATAAATGTTTTTTGCCATTTTCTCTAAAGATCAATAAAATGTATCACTTTTATTCACAGTACATAGTTTTCTATTTGATTTTTGTTGACATCTGAAATAATAAAATTCTTTTGCTGATGCTTTTTCTATATTCGTTTTAGCCTGACTCTTGCACTGGCGACTAAATGGTTGTAATCAGATCTAATATCTGCTTCAGAGTATGTCATAATTCTACTGATGGAGTTCGTAAATCTTTTGTTTATAAGACTGAAAGAAAGAGGTAGGTGTGCAAAAAATCATTCAATTTGAGTTACTACTCCTCTATCCATACGCTTGTCAGCCACGCAGATTATTTTAATGCTGGCATCCGGAGAACAAACGAAGAGGGTTCCGTAACTATTAAACCGCTTGCATCAACTTCGTCTTTGTAGAAATTTGCCCTGCTTGTAGAAGAAAGTGGCTGTGCAGTCCACTATCGTGGGATGTGAAATAGATCTTACTGGTTGTACATACTCTATTCTTGAGGCCTTGTTCTTGTAGGGATGAATGAAAGAAATCATAATGCATCTGCTTAAATACTTTCACTGGATGCCACAGATCAACAGACAACCTCACAAGAAGTGTTGAACACTTGCATGATCCTTAATCTAACTGACTAGGTACGAGCTTGCTTGGGATTTAAAGGATTGGTCAAGATGGTTACAGGAAATCCGAAAAGTCAGATTTCAAGGCACTTAGAAGCATTCGTCCGAATATTTAATCCCTGCTGGATCCTGCAAGCTATCTTTAGTCTTTCTATATTCCGCCGAAATATCGTAGTTATCAATTTTCATGTTTTTTTGTTTCCGTGTATTACTGAGAACAAAAGCAAAATAAAAAGAACATACAGTACAGTTGAAGGATTCTCTGTACCAATATTGTACAAAACAGTCTAGGGATTTTCCGTAAAACATAAATAATAATTATTGATAACTAATTTTGACGATTATATGCATTTAATACAGATTTTTCTATATTCTTAAGTGTTTTAGTTTAGTTTGTATTTAAGAAACAAAACAGAATATTTTTTTACTTCGTATAAGAATTTTTAACAAAAGATATTTTATATTTTTTAAATCCTTGTGTAACGCTCATTATAGGTATCGTAACGGTACGAAAATGTAATAATTCGAGAAAAAAACCAACAAAAATTGGAAAACAATCGTATCTTTCGCACATCACCAAAATTTTTTTACCTTCACAAGTTTCTGTCAGATTTCACCCTAAAAACGTTATTTAGGTTACTTATTGAACAATTGTCATCACATCTCTAAGCTCAAATGAAACGAGTGTAAGGGACAAGGGCGCCAACTACGGCGGGTAGTGTGACTCATATATTCAGGGGTTGTCAGGAAGAAACATCGTTGCCAAGTAGACAGTGGTTGTACACCTGCCTACGTATTTTTTAATGTTTTGTTTCCATAAATAGCCTATATAAACCACATATCAATTTGATAATTTAAAAATAGGTAAAAATTTAAATTTTTATACGCAGTTAAATTTTATCACAATGATTTACATTTGGTCCTCTTTCAAATCTTCCTCTACCGGTTTGTTTTTGTATTACTATTATTGTGTGTTAGACTGTCATTATTTCGTATATTCACTGACTTCCTACAGTTCACGTTCTCGATCTTCTTGCAGATCTTCTCTATAAAATCCATTTTCATAGTCATATGCTTTCTTTGCCTATAGCTGTCCTCAAAAACTATCTGCACATTCCAGTTACATTGTAGTATTCAATATTGCAAAAAGCAACAAATAATTGTAACAATAAAACACTGAAAACTTTGTTTTTAAACTTCCACAAAATTTATTTTAAATCTTATCACTACAGCTGTTTCGGCTAATTGCCTTTCTCAAGTGATCTATTTTTGGCTTGGGTTTACAAATTTATAGTCTCCAATGAAATAGGTTGAGGAGGGGAGAACTGTTTGTCTCAAGTTGTCATTCAGAATTATATCTGTGTTTTTAATTTGTTGATTTCCATAGATTCTAACAAAGATAGCTTAAGGCCTTTATTTTGAATGTGAAGAATTTTAAATTTGTCATTAAAAGAATGATTATGATCTAGAAGGTGAAGTGCGTATGTCGAATCTGTTTTTCTATTTTTGAAAGCCCTTTTATGTTCTGCTATTCGTTTATCAAAGTTTCTACCAGTTTGACCGATGTAAGTTTTTGGGCAGTCGCCACATTGAAGTTTGTACACACCACTATTTAAGTGTTTTTTATTTTGCTCTTGTTATTTTAATATATTTGCCTAGGTTGTTATTTATTCGGAAAGCTGGTGTTATTCCTTTCTTTTTTATGTGTTTGGCAATTTTTGTTGTTATTTTGCCTGTATATGTAATCGAGCAGAAAGTACTGGGTTTTTTCTCTGGTGGTGGAAATACTAATTTCAGGGCTTTCTTGTGTAGTTTTTGATTTAACATTTTATTAATTTAAAAACTACACAGGAAAGCCCTGAAATTAGTATTTCCACCACCAGAGAAAGAACCCAGTACCTTCTGCTCGATAACATATACAGGCAAATTAACAATAAAAATTGCCAAACACATAAAAAAGAAAGGAATAACTCCAGCTTTCCGAACAAATAACAACCTAGGCAAATATATTAAAAATAACAAGATGCAAAAATAAAAAACACTTAAATAGTGCTGTATACAAACTTCAATGTGGCGACTGCCCAAAAACTTACATCGGTCAAACTGGTAGAAACTTTGATAAATGAATAGCAGAACATAAAAGGGCTTTCAAAAATAGAAAAACAGATTCGACATACGCACTTCATCTTCTAGATCATAATCATTCTTTTAATGACAAATTAAAATTCTTCACATTCAAAATAAAGGCCTTAAGCTATCTTTGTTAGAATCTATGCAAATCAACAAATGTAAAAACACAGATATAATTCTGAATGACCAACTTGAGACAAACAGTTCTCCCCTCCTCAACCTATTTCATTAGAGACTATAAATTTGTAAACCCAAGCCAAAAATAGATCACTTGAGAAAGGCAATTAGCCGAAACAGCTGTAGTGATAAGATTTAAAATAAATTTTGTGGAAGTTTAAAAACAAAGTTTTCAGTATTTTATTGTTACATAAAATGAATTTCCATCAAGTAACGGTCGAATCCATCAATTACAACAAATAATTGTTTGATGGCGAATTTGTATGTGACAGTTTGTGTCCTTTGTGACGAAAAAAGAGGATTTTTAGACAGTAAGCTTTGCTCGAATTACAATTCTAAAATTGAAGTAATTGATAAGCAGCTTGTCTCACAACCAGAGGCAAAGATCAGTGAGTTTAAATTCTGTTCTTTTGTAAAACCCCCGTTCCTGGCTACGTAATTAGTACTTACTAACACTTACCCTGAGCCAGCATGTTACACAAATGTGAGATCTACAATGGCTGCAGTACGAGCAGTCTATATTAAGTACAAATAACTTTTGAAAAAAAGGACATA